TTTAGTAGAAAATGAAAGAATTTCTATGGAAAAAGAAGAAAAGAACTTATAAATTGATTTGTGGAAAGTATTCATTGAATTCTCAGTTGTTAATAAAAGTTTGCCATGACTTGTATCAGAGGGAGAAGCTGGAGCTGAGAATGGGAATCGGCCTGCAGAAGGTAACGGGGCAGCAGTTGAAAATGAGAATGTGGTTGAAGGAGATATAGAGAATGGTGGTAACCATTGGTGGGGTATCGTGAATGAAATCCAGATGATTATTTTTGGCTTCATCACTTCCCTTCTTCCGGGGTTTCACAACATAGACTAGATTAGATGATACACTTTTTAACAGGTTTTTGACATTCTGACCCATGTTAATAGCAGCAGACATGTTTTAATAGTTCTTTTGAAATAAACATGTAATATAAGGGAAAGAAAAATCATAGGTTTTTATTAGTTAATGGTTCTAATGAGTTCTTTGAGATTATCACCGTTTTAATGTCTACCGAATTTCATTATAGTTTGATTTATTTAAAATTATTTAGTTGAAAGTTGTTAAAGAAAGGTTTAGAATTTAAAATTCAAGATTTTGGTTTATACTAATAGGGGCACTGGCATTCAGTACATGACAAAAAGGATCAAATTATACCTGTATGAGAATATAAATAAAGTCAAATATCATTTCTTATATATTTCTAATTTGTCGAGGCTATACAACGTGAATAACTCTAATCTTGTTAGTGTTTGGTTTTATTTTTTTTGTTTTCCTTTTCACTCCCATCAACTCAAGGTTTCAAGTTTCAACATTTAAGTTTAAAAGTTTCAAAGAGACAATTTACTATTTGTTAAATTAATTAGTAGAATTTATGCCCTTAAGATAATAGGGGTGAAATTGCGAAAACAAACTTGAACCTTTAATAATCATATGATCATGAAAAAAAAATTTACATGATTATGAAATTTTCAAGCTGCAACAAGTAAACTAAATGTTTAAATGATGAGTTGTCAAAATTATTATGAGCATTTAAATCTTCGCAGGATCATGGAACAACCCTCGTTTACAAAATTTGGAAGCTGTCAAAACTTAATTTATTTTGGGCTAAAAAAATGGTAAATTACAAAAAGTATATACATGTATACATAAATGGATGAAACCTCACATCTCTGATAAAAGATTGCTGATCTTCCGAAGCTCCTTTAGAGCTGTAAGGGCAGTAACCTGTCCTTTGCCAACAAGAACGTTTTTAGAGAAGTTCTCCAATGACCCCTGACCCCGGTCTTGCTGGAAAGTAGACTCAAGAACCTGCCAAAGAGCAGGTTATTCATATTATCATCAAAGCAGTTAGGAATCAACTTGGAAAACAAATTCAATTCTGCTGAGGTTACAAGGGAAAAAATCAAAAAAAAAAAATCCATGGCTGGCTGGCTACCTGCTCCCATTCTCCAGCTAGGTAAAATGCAAATTGACTTGAAATCTAAAAGCATGCTATCTAAGGGATTGAGTGAAGATGAAACCAGAAGAATCCATAAATTTAAGAACCATATCTCAGTTTATGCTTGACATGATGTGCTCTGCATCAATTTATGCCAGTTTCCTTAACCATCCATATCATAGGAATTTAGCCTCCTATGGTCCAACCAACTTCTACATATTTCCAAAGTTTCAATATATTTATATATATATATATATATCATAGGAATTTAGCCTCCTATGGTCCAACCAACTTCTACATATTTCCAAAGTTTCAATATATATTTATATATATGTTCTTTCTACTGATAACTTCATCAACTAGTTTATGAAGAAAAAAGACCTCTATGACATTCTGGCATCACATGTTCATGCAAATTCTTATGTTTAAAATCCAGCTCCAAATCTTCATGCAAGTATGTGTAGAAGCAAGTTAATCTGAAACTAATGATTATTTATAACCCAATATATTCTTAAAATTTGGAATATTATGTGGGATGTGTAGATTACCCTATTAATGACAAAACCATTTACTAAACAACAAACACCCTAGACAGTTACCAAAAAACAGGATCTTACCTGAATGTGTTCAAGCATAGACTGCCCAAGATTCTTCAAAGTTCCCATCACATTCTGGTCCACAACTTCTCCTTTGCTGCTGGAAGATGAACTAAGAGAAACATCAGCAGTGGAAGAGTCTATTTCATTCCTCTTATTAATTTCACCATCTGCAGATTCAGCAACCTCATGAGTACCACCTCCTTTCTCAGATGTCTCGTAATTAACTGAACTTCGTCCAAACTTCCAAAACCACTGGAATTTGCCAGGTAGAAGCTTCCGATCCTTCAACCCTGCTTCTGCTTTTCCTGTAGAATCATTCTTGTCTGGAGAATTTGGACAGACACCATCAGGAGGAATGGAAACTGGAAGAGGTGAATCTTCCACATTGTTGTACGAATGATCATCATTTTCATCAATGAACAAATTTGATGCAACACTACTTTTCTCTGAGTCATTTTCCTGGTCATTAGTGCCACTAGCAGCGCTTGTTGGGTCTGAAAATGTAGATGAGTTTTCATCACTGACAACATTCCCACTTGGACATCTCTCTTCAGCTGTACAAGTGAACTCTTCGCTAACACCATCATGCCCCTCCACCTGAGCTTCTACAGAATTTTGGTCCTTTTGGCTAGAAACTTCATGGGAGCCTACCTTTTCACCTTGTTCATCAAGGCCAAGTTGCCGTGACAGATCTTCAAGCAAACTTCGCCGCATGGATAACCTATGGTCCCCTTTGCCATTCTCAACCCTTGATGAAGAAGGGTCAGATTCTGTTCTGGATAGGCGCAATCTTACTTTTTCTGACCACCCTTTTCTCCGGCTTGAATTTTGTTTTTCTAAACTACCTTGCTTCTGCTCTTCTGCCTTGTGCACCACTCTCCATTTCTCTTCCCAATAGCTATCAGGTACCACACTTAGAGGAGTTTTTGGAGAAACTGGATCCAATGGAAGGTTAAGACTTCTTGGTACCACTGATTTGCTGTGGTTATATGCCCCATTAAATGGGAAAGATGAGGATGATACATTAACATCCAATGCAAGAACCTGAAGAGACTTTGCTTTCTCTATAATTTTTCTCAGGTTTATGTTCTCAGGAAAATTTAGGAGCCTCTGGAGACAGGATGTTGCATTCTCAGTAGCAAGCAAGGAAGATCTTATGTAAAGTATCATTGAAACTGCCATGGCTGAGATCAATGCTCCCCGAGGTGAACTAAGTATTTTAAAGCTGGAACCTAAATCATCTTCAGCACTGTTAACCAGTTTAGTATTGTCTGCTACAAATATCTCATCCCATATTATCAAGAGATCTTGAAGTGAAAACTCTCGTCCAAATAAAACTCTCAACCAGCGAAGTGCAAAATATTGGGGTTCAACACCGAGTTCAATGAGGTGGCAGTGTAATGATGAATCAACAACAAACAACAAATGATAGAATGCAGCTGAGGCCTCAATGACAGGGGGTAAGCCACTGCAGGATCCAGCTGGAGGTGATGGAGTAAAAAAATCCACCATGGCAACCGAACCATGTGCCCCACTCATCAAAGCATCAAGCATACAGTAGGCATCATGTTCCATAAATTTCTCAGACAAGACGATACCAAGTTCACCTTCAGCCCCATAGGCATCAGTAAGCAATATAATATTCTGTATCTCAGGTTCAAGCTCATTAAGACTCCTAACCTTTTTTGAATTCCCTTGAGAACCAAGATCATCTTCAATGGAATCTAAAAACTTTTTGAAATCAAAACTGTATGTATTATCATTTTCTTGAAATGATAAGCCATCAAACTTGTCAGTGAACTGATCATCATAAAGTTTTCGAACTTCATAAAGACGCTCAATATCAACATGAAGAACATACAGCAAAGGTGCCAAGAGTTCATGCATTCCTACAAATAGAACAAGATAAATCAGTCTTAACACACCATAAAGTTCATAATAGATTCATGAAATTCATGGATACTATTAGCATAATTTACCTTGTCTATAACCATACTCAGGGTGTCTAAGGCACCACAACAAAAGAATCCGTCTTAACATCCCTTGGCATCCAGGTGTCTGGAAATAGCTCCCATGCTCTGGATATAATCGAGATAAATCCTGGTCAACCATTTTCTCCAACTCAGCATTCCGAAAGAAGCGACTCCAGGTGCTGTCTGCAGGAGACAATGTCCTCTGATAAATACAACTTTTTTCTTTTTGAAAAAAAGAATAGTATTTGGACTGAGCAGAATATTTCTCATGCAAGGACAGTCTAATTACAGTTCTTGACCAAATACTACTGAAAGGAAAATGAATATAAATATGAATTAAATGGGCAAAACATACATAAGAAATAGTTTCCTGAGGCACTAACAGTAAATATAAATTAAATTAGAAACAGCTGACAGAAGTAACAAGAAACGTCACCTGGGTCTTGTGAGAGTGGATTATCCATGGCAAGATCAGGGGAATTACTTCCATCCTTTGAGATATGGGGATCTACTAGGAGGCGCCTTCTCAAGGTGGCATATCTTCAACACAAAAATTTGATTCAGAAAAAAAAAGACAGACGATCAGTCAGTCAGTCACTCCCCTTTTGGAAAAGAAGGAAGAAATCTATATTCCTTCGAGATGGCTAAGCTATTATTCCAAATACAAAAAGCTTAGGGTAAACACCGGTCTTCCCAATGTTGCCATTGAATTGGATTGAAACTAAAACAAAACCAAAATGTTAAAAGAAAATCGATTTTGTGATGATCAACCAAGATCAAGGTAACCCAGAAACAAAAGTTATCAAATTGATGAAACAACTTTGAGCTAGAATCAGCTGAAACGAAAATGATCAAGATTACACCGGAATATAATTTACCAAGATGTAACATTTACGAGAAAAAAGAACCCCAAAAAATCTAGCATTACCTTCTGCGAGAATCAGCCGTTACCCTCCGGAGATCATCAATTGAAGAAGACGACGGCAAAATCCCGAGATGTATACGCCATCGAACGCCTCTGAGATTAGCAAAACGTCGATCTTCATGAACAGATCCCTGAGAAACGACGGAAGAGGACGGGTTCTCCTTCTCAACTGCAGCTGGGGACATGCCTTCGCAACAATCCAAACTTTGCAAAACGCAGAAGAACAATGGTGGAAGAAATACAGCCTGCCAAATTGAGAAGGGAAGGAGGAGATGAAGGAAGGAAATTGTAGAGAAAAGAGAGGAAATTTGAGGTTGGAAACGGAGGAGAAAACTGACTTACGGTTCTGTTTGGAAGGATGGAAAATCAAAGTCAGATGGAAGGTGAAATCTTTGTGTTTATTTTTATTTTTCGGCTTGTGCTTTGCCAAGCAGAGAAAACCAAAAATTAGAATAAAAAAAGGTTTTTTTTTTAATATGTTATGCATTTATTATATTTTTTATTAATAATATGTTCAATACTTTTTTTTTTTTGCCTCTAATTTGTTCAATACTAGTGTCTCGTTTTTAACATTAATATTATATGAAATATTTTAATTAAATAAAAAATCAAAATTAATTTTATTTTTTATATAAATAAATATTAAAAAATATAATAAATATACCCTAAAATTTTTTTTATAAAAAATAAATAAACTGAAGAAAGAAGCTGGCGCGGCTGGTGGGCTGCTAAGCTGCCCCTTGCATGTATGGTAAATAATAAATACATCCAATATGTTAATTTTTAAATAAAAATAATTATTTATATAATAACATATAAAATTAATATTTATTTACTTTATCTCTTAAAAATTAAAAAAAATTATTTCAAAATTATGTAATTTTAATAGAGAAGACAAAAAAACACTCTCATTTATATTTTAAAAATGAAATATTTTAATATTTTTTAAT